AGCAGGTTGTCTGACCCCCCTCCTCCCCCTTTTCACAGGCCTGTATTTTTTTTGCAAAAAGGGTTGATGTACTATGTTATATTTCCCTCTCTTCTTTCTTTCATAGCAAGTAGCAGACATCATAGGAGCAGACCCCAGAGAGATTGTTTTTACCAGCGGTGCCACAGAGTCCAATAACATTGCAGTCAAGGGTGTGGCCAGGTTTTATAAGAGCAAAAAGAAACATGTCATCACAACACAAACAGTGAGTGAATACCCTCTTGCTCTCCCCCCCCCCCACTCTCCCTCTCTCAAATGTTGCCTTCTCTCTCTCAAATGTTGCCTTCATTTCTGAGCAGTTGCATGCACATGCACACACACACACACACACACACACACACACAGCACACACACACACACACACACACACACACACAGAGAGAGAGATTATGTAAATGTGTTATCATATGGATGTAAGAAAATTAAAGAGTCTGCTTTCAGAAATGTATCCTCATTTTTATTGACTTTAAATATATTCATCTCTTATTAATCTTTAGATCCATAACTGTTGCTGCTTGCTAATCTTTACATGTCTTAGGAACATAAATGTGTGCTGGATTCCTGCAGAAGTTTGGAGGCAGAGGGTTTTGATGTCACTTATTTACCTGTGCAGAAGAATGGACTAATAGACATGAAGGTAATGGTCTTCTTGTTTACATTATTGGTCAGCCAGGGGCAGATCCAGAGAGATTTTCTGATTTTCCAAACTATCATTGTTGATCCCTCCTCCATTTTTGACCGTCTTCCAACAAAAAAATCAGATATCCGATTATCCTTCAATGTTAACTTGAAAATTTGACTGCTTCTGGAAGACCCATAAGATGGCCTCAATCTGTCTCTGTCAGCAGTCAAGTCTTAACTCACCACATTCCAGTTGGTTAAAAAAAACATTTCTTAATGGAAGGTAGATTATGTGTTGATTGGTTTTAAATTATGTATTGGTTTATTTTATCACATTGTATGGTTTTAAGTTTATTATAGTGGATTATGTCTTGAATTTTGCGACTGAAGTATTGTTTAAACTAGTTAAAAACATATATACATTGTGGATGTCACTGAAATATTGGAGGTTGATCTATGAAGTTTCACTTTTCTGATCACTTTGATGATTTATGTTTAGCAACTGGAGGCAGCTTTGAGACCAGATACTGTGCTGGTGTCTGTGATGACAGTTAATAATGAGATTGGTGTGAAACAGCCTATGGAACAAATAGGTAATATGGTAATATTTCAAAGAAAAAAAAACATATAAGAGAATTAAAGAAACATAATTTTTATCTTAAATTTCAATTTCAATTTTGTTATTTTCAATTTACTTGGCTGATGATAAAAAGATTAAATACAGAGGTTGCAACTTAATTTTTCACGTATATGTATATATTGTATACTAAGCATTAAAAATGACAAAATTTGCTATTTGTTCTTGTATAGATGACCATCATAATAGTGATTTAATTGTGATTCAGGCAAATTATGTCGAGAGAAGAAGGTATTTTTCCACACAGATGCAGCTCAGGCAGTGGGGAAGGTTCCAGTTGATGTCAACAGCATGTGTATTGATCTGATGTCTATAAGTGGTCACAAAATATATGGTCCTAAAGGTAATGCCATTTATCTTGGCAAAGAGTTTTTCTGTCTTCCTGTGTTTTTTATTTTATTTTTGCCTAAATAAAGCATTTATGTGAGCCTGTTTCCTGAATTTCATCAGACTGTTACACTGGACACAGAATGATGATTATTTACTTGATTTTTCTGAGCCAGTTGTTGAAAAAAATATTTTTTTCATTGATTAAGAGGCTGAATAGAGCATGAATGTCAAATGTTAACTTTAATGCAATTTTCTTGACTTAAAAACTTCACTCTGTTCAATGAAACAGCTCATAGGTGCATATTTTAATTGTCATTAAAACATATCCCCACATAGTTTGTCAACAAATACTGACATATTAATGCTTGCTCATTTTGTAGGTGTGGGTGCCCTCTATGTGCGGCGCCGGCCCCGTGTCCGCCTGGAGCCCCCTCAGAGTGGCGGGGGGCAGGAGAGGGGGTTGAGGAGTGGGACAGTACCCACGCCCCTGGTTGTGGGGATGGGGGAGGCATGTGCTGTGGCTATGGAGGAGATGGAGGTGGGCTGGACAGGTGTCTAATATAGAATTTAGAAATGATTATGATCATATTAATGATATTAATAAGGTAATTTTAAGGTTAAGACATCAACATATAGAATATGTTTTTTTTCCACGAATTCTAGTTAATATTTAGTGCAGTTGATAGTAAGACAAATGTAAGCCACCTTTCATGATTTTCTAGATATTTTAGTCAATTCTTTTATTCCATGACCATACATGTAGCAGTTTCCTAATTTTTCAAATTGATAAAGGTACTCAAATTTAATTTACTTTCTATAATTCTTTCACAGTATGACCACAAACGTATCAGTAAACTAGCGCAGCGTCTGCTAGATAAGATAACGACAGCCCTGCCAGATGTCATCAGAAATGGCGACCCCGAGCACATGTATCCTGGGTGTATTAACCTGTCCTTTGCCTACGTAGAAGGCGAGAGTTTACTGATGGCACTCAAAGATGTGGCTCTGTCATCTGGGAGGTATGGTGGTTTGGAGATACAAATTGAAGTATTTATTGAAACTCCATTCTTTGTTCAATAATTCAATTTGTCTAATGAAAATGAAACACATGTTCCCTTATTTTTTAACAAGTATTAAAAAGTGATTGCAGAACAATAAAAAAAACATGTTGACTATAAGACTATTACTTAGAAGTGAACTTGCTATGGAAACCATGTTATCCCTTCCCCCTCCAAAAATAAATAAATAAATAAATAAATAAATAAATAAATAAATAAATAAATAAATAAATAAATAAATAAATAAAAATAGAAATCCAAAAAATTCAAAGAGAAAATGCCATTATCATTTCTCAGTGCCTGCACGTCTGCCTCCCTAGAGCCTTCCTATGTATTGAGAGCCATAGGAGCTGAAGAAGACCTGGCCCACTCCTCTATCAGGTAAAAATTTTGGATAAGAAATTCTTTGCTCTTGTAATTCTGTTGTTGTATGAAATCTTGCATGAATATTTAGAGTAAAAGTTGCCAAGCTTTTAGTAAAAAATAATATTTTAAACTCTTCACTCATTACTGATACATGAAAATGACAATTCTTAATCAACAAGTTTTTTGTTTCTTTCTTTTTTTTTTGTGTTTTCAGGTTTGGGATTAGTCGCTTTACCACAGAAGAGGAAATAGATTACACAGCCGAGAAGTGCATTGAACATGTGCAGAGGCTAAGGGAGATGAGGTCAGTGAGAGGGAGTTGTGAAAAGGGGAGAAAAAGAAGTGTAGAATAAATATAAACAATATCATTATATTTTCACAAGATACCATATCTGTAGATTTTTCTGCCATGTAACATTGTGATGGTCTATATTCCAGCCCTCTGTGGGAGATGGTACAGGAGGGGATTGATCTCAAGTCCATCCAGTGGTCACAGCACTAGTGGACACAGTGGACAGCACAAGTGGACATTGACCACAGTAGGTTTCACATCAGTGTACAGTGACCACATTAGACATGAACCTAGCGGACAATGACCATTCTGGACATAGTACAAGTAAATGTAGAAAGTGACCGTGGTGAATGCAACACCAGTGGACAGTGGATGCAGTATTAGTGGACATTGCCCGCAGTGGACATAACAATCTGACTATGTTAATTGGACAGAGGTCTGTTTTGGTCACCAGACCAGTGGTGAGAGATGCATGTTATTGATCACCACACACTCACGCACACACACAGACATTAGGGTATATTAACCAAGAAGTGCTGCTACACTGAAAAATAAATATACATTTGGAGTTCAAAAAAAAAAAAAAAAAAAAAAAAATGGGATTAGTCCACAGGTAGTGAATATGGTGACCACAGGGTATTTGGTCAACCAGTTATTTGATTACTGGCTTACCTTCATTAACTTGTAGCAAATTTTGTGAAATCTGAATATTGAATATAATGGTGGTTATGAGACTGTGATGGAGAAAGAAAATATTGACACGTTATTTTGATGTGGAATTTCACAAAATGTGATATAAATATAATTTTATTAGAACAGTTAACCATGGTATAACTATAACACGTATGTTCTTTCTAAGAAAAAAGTAATGACAAGCAAACTACAGATAAGCACTGATGTCTACTGGAGTCAAATGCTCTCCAAACCAGTCTGTATTTGTAAATTGATTGCTCTTAAAATTTGAATCTAGAAATCACTTTGTACAGATATGGCAGAAATACATGTATACCATTAGTAACGCCTTTTACCAGATGATGGCTGTTTCCAGTGTTCATGAAATGCATGTGAACTTAGTATTTATCTATCTATATATCAGCCAATGTGAAGTGACTTGTAACATACTGTGAGCTCTTGAACAGTAAATAAAAAAGAAAGAGAAAAGGTAAATAAAGAAGGAAAAACCATAAGCTAATTGCTGTATTATATTAATGCCATGAAGAAGGACGATTGTTTGTAGATAATAAAATTCTTTGATTTAAATAAGATGTTTTATGCTTGTAGAAAAGGGCAAATTAGTGACAGCTATGTGAGTTGCAGATTGGGGATTTTAAAGTGCATTTCTTCTGTGCTATTTACTAACCCCTTCTTTTTCAACATGGTCAGCCAAGCAAGATGTGTGATAGTAACAAAAAATTAAAAAGTGGACATTAAAACTAGCATGTAAACATTAATTAAAACAAGTCGTAAAAGCTAATATTGATGTGCTTAAAAGGAAAACAACTGTTCATTCCCATACTAAGCAATGAATGCATTAATCCATTTCTACATTCAAAGTTTGCCCCGTTTTTTTTTTTTTTTTTTTTTTTTTTTTTTATAATCTCTTAGGAGATTATTACAAAGTATAGCCGTCTATGAAGGTCACATGGTTCGATAACAAGCACAGATTTCAGAATTATGATCGCTTTAAATATTTGCCCATCAAACTGTGTAAGAACACATAAATGCTAAGTGTCGTATACATGCGCATGCATGATAGAAAAGTATAAACTAATGCAAGAATAAATTAGGTATACTGTGATACTGCTACTCGCTCAACAAAACCCGCAGGAGTCGAGGGTTGGCCTGTAGTTGGCAACAAAGCTTGAGTAAACATCGGTGCTGAATCCTTGCCCATTTTCGCGCATGTGCGTTATGTTTGCATGATTAGCGCCTAGGAGATTCCAAAACACTATCTTCCCGACACTACATTAAGCGAATCCGGAGGTGCATAATGATTTTGTAACAATGGCGGACGACATAGATGATCTTCTGGACGAAGTGGAGTCCAAATTCATAGCTAGCAGCCCTAGAAAAGACGCCAAGAAGATTACGAATGTTAAGGTTTCCAAACCGCCGGCCAGGCCCAGGTGATAATTTATTAATCATATTCACACAAGTATATAGGTTATCGATAAGATGATATGTAATCAATTAATTCTTTAACACGATCTGGAAAGTCAGTACGGACCAATCAGTAGTGAGATTTAATCAGTTGTATTAGTATAAGGCTGATGTCCCTGAAATTAACCTGCATGACCATGTGGAAAAATATGTTAGTTTACTGGTAGGTTGGTGGGGTGGGGTGAATGAGGGAAGGGGGGGCCCAAGAAAATATGATGACTATGGTGTATCTTTTCCAACACAACCGTACAAAAACAGTAGTTACTAAAACAAAGAAATATGTTCTGTTTGAATGCTCCAAAGGCCCTAGATAGGAAAACATGCAATTGATTATTTGTGATCATTAATATGAACACTGCGTACCCGTGCACCACTGCACTTAAGCTCTCTGCATATTACCAATCAATAAAGCAGCTAGCCTTCAGTAAAGCAGCATCACTGATTTCAAATCTTAGGGTATTGATCAATTAATTAAGCCATTTAGCATGTTTGACCCTTCAGATTAACTTGATAACGTTGTTGTGGTTGCCATAGTATTATTTAACTTACTGCAAGTTCCTCTTACATGATGGCTGGAAAATATATCTCTGGTAGCAAATATGTATATATATTTGATTTTGATGTCTTGGTAATGTTCTCAGTTGTGTTTTAGTTAGGAAAAATGTGCATTGCAAAATGCATGTATCCGTAATTTGCTACAGTCAAATGGCTCATTGTTTGGTTGAAATGATAAAATATTTTGGGCTTAATTTTGTTTATTTCTTTACTTGTAGAAAACCTGGAGATGAAGATCTGGATGACATGATAAGTGATATATGTGATGTCCCAGAGCCACTAGTAAGAGTAATATTTGCACAACATGATAGCAAGATTTTTTTTATCTTTTTTTAAATATATTTGGCTTGCCCACTTACTAGTTATATAGTGGGATGTTTTATAACTTAGGGATTATTGGTTTTGGACTGATTGTTTTAAAAATCCTGAGATGAATTCTTAATTAACATGCCACCAATTTGGCATTTATAGTATTTATGTTGAGAAAAAATCTTGACACTGAGTGACATTTACATGAATTAAGTAGTTAGACTTTGAAAGGTTTTTAACTAAATGTGACCATACATCAATTTGAAAAATTGATTAAAATTATGAAACTGTATAGCTCAGTTTTGATGCAATTTTTTTTCTTAAATTCTGTCATTGCATTTAAATGACAGTTAGATGTTTACCTACTTAGTAATTGATTTAATTCCCATTAGATTTCACTAATTTTAGCTCCTGTTTTTCTTGCAGGACAAGCTAGAGACAGGACCAGTGGAGAGAGTTGTTACTTCTGCCCAAAAAAGGTAAAGCAAGGAATGCTTTAGAAAAATAATATTATTTACCCAGCACAAGTTAATAATATTTGTAGACAATTTTTGCAATGTTTTTTATAGCCTTTTAACATTTAGAAATGTTGCAGCTCTTGATTTTCTTGTCTGTAATCTTATTTTGAATATTTATTTTGCTCAAATGATAACTTGTATCAGATAGTTTGTTTTTTTTTTTTTTTCAGATGCTATCCTGTCTATCTGGGAAACAGTACTTGTGCGCAAGGGATGGCCAGTACAATGAATAAAAGGTGGGGTTCTTTTTACTTTTTTTTACCAGCTTGTTGAACCTTATTTTGTACCGTTTTACCTCTACCAACTGCTTTCATCTCTCTCTCTCTCTCTCTCTCTCTCTCTCTCTCTCTCTCTCTCTCACACACACACACACACACTTGTATATGTGCCAAAACTTCATATTTATTTCAATATTTTCTTTTCAGATCCTGTGATAAACTAAGGTGCACAGACTGTGATTTCAAGATAGTAACGTTTGATAACTTCCAGTGGGCAGCTTCCACGGATTATTTATTTCTCCGCAATAATGTTCCTGATTTCAAAAAACTACAAAAACAGCTTGATCCAAAGAATGGTAGGTTTCAGTGAAAAGTTAATGACAGTTTTACCTTTAAAAAAATTGAACAATTCTTCTCCACAAAGACATTTATTTATTTTTTAATAAGGTTATTCTACCTAAAATAAAATTCACATTGGAAAAAATGAGTATTTCTATAGATTTGAAGTATTTTAATTAAATTATTTAATTAAATCTGCATTGATATGCTGTTTTTTATTGCTTTCTTTGCCCAAGGTTTCTTGAAAAGTCATGATTGGAAATATGCATTACACTGGAAGTTAAATATTCTTTCATCAGTAATATAATTTTATATTTTTATATATTTTTTCAGGTATGCGAGCCTATGCTTGCCAGTGTAAATGGAGAAATGTGTCAGAAGTCAAAGATGTAAAGACAGACCAGGACCTAAAATGGGTCTGTGGCAGACACTGAAATGTGAAACAAAGAAGCACTTGAGGACACTGCAATATGAAGATGTAAATGTGAAAATCCTGAAATGTGAAGACAGGAAATGTGAATATATTGCAATGGGATTACAATATGTGAAAGCATAAAAATTTGAAATCATAACATATCAAAATACTATTCTAAGATATGAAAGCAGACAAATAGTTAAATATCAGAAATTTTGTAAGGAAACTAGTCTGAAAACAAAGTTGAGAAATTTAAAATAAGTCACACACTAGTCATGTCCATTCTCACTCATTTGCTTAGTCACACTTCAATCAGTCATATTTGGTAAGTTCAGCATATTTTGTGTTCTTGTCAATTAACAAATGTTTACCGAATCATGTTAGATTGACAAATAATTCCTATATATTTAAGTCAAGGAGTTTTGTCTTATGCAAAATTTTTTATGGCAGTGTGAATCATGTTTTTCTTACTGTAGACAAAAAAGAGCCTATTTGGGGGTGGGCAGAGCAGGATATGACTTCTATTTATAGTTCACCTACATGAACACGAGAAAAGACCTTTACTTGTACTAGTAGATACAGTAGAAAACATTCCATGCCCAAAAACATTAGAAGTTCATTTATTCCAAATTAGGAGTGCCTGATGCACACAGGGTAAAAAATTGTGCATATCGATCCCATCATTATATCAGAACTTGGACAGGTTTTATTTTTACATTGAGCTGAGATATACATTGGATGTAGAATAAGGTCCTTCAGTTTGGTAATGTTCATTTGATATCAGATGTTTTTTTTTGTCACAAACTAATCTTATAATTTTATAAAACAATAGTTTGTGTATTATAAAAATATTAGATTGTGATAAAAGAACATTTGATACCTGATAACACAGGGCAGGGTTTGAGAGCATTGTAAAGTTCCTGATTGAAATGCTGGTTTTTGTAATTATGCAGTGCAATACTGGGCTCCATAACTAGCAAGCATCGCAAATAGCGATATCACCTTTTATTTCCAGGCTATTATATGGGGCGAGGAAATCCCCAAGTTATGGAATAGAGATGCTTGCGCTAGGTGGCAATTTGCGATGGTTTCGAGTTACGGAGCGCTGATCCGTCTTCTTAGTCTTTTATCCTTTCTGGGCTCCCCTGCCCACACTTTATTTCCATTCACATTTTATGCAATCTGATATTTCATGGTAGATGAAGAGAAGTCTGATTTCTGCAGCCAGTAAGACCTGAGAGTTGAATTTTTGTGAATCAAGACCTGGTTTCTAATTAAAGTGAATATTTATGAACACCATATACTCATTTGTTGATAAACAGGAGTGGCAAATGATCATGACATAGCAAGTATATAAAACTGTGACTGTACAATCATTTTTGTTAATTACAGATGTCTTTTTCTCTTGAAAGAATAGTTTGTATGAAATGAATAATGTAAGCTTGAATTGATGTAGCTTTAGTTCAGTAAGAATGAATGTCTTGTGCAAGATAGTTGTTTTAATGGAAATAGATTAGTAAATAAAAAAAAAAAGGTACAGTGAATTAGTTACTAGCTTGTTCTGTAGATGTGACAGTACAATTCCTTCTGTAAAATCCACTTATATCTTTTTTGTGTTGGTATTTATATAGTAAATTATATAATAGTGTTCACACAGTTGACCTTGAAATCATGTGAAGTTGTTATTAGTCAGGTACTTATTGTATAATCATTTTATATTCTGGGTCAAACTTCACAGAACTTTGTGATCCTGGATGTTTCTTCAGCAGTCTGTTGAAATAAGACAATGGTCATTTTTATTATATGAGATATATAATGATGAACTTATGTTTTTTTGACTTCAGTTCTGCTTTGAGACAAAGATTTAGCTGGTCTAGTACTTAGGCAGTGTTAAAAAAAGAAACTGAAGGCTGTGTGCTTGGCATATGTGGGCACGCAATTCATTTCATCCGTCCACCTTTACTGTCATTTGATATGGACCATTTTGTGTATAAGTGTATTAGTTTTGGATTATTTGTGGATTTAAGTTTTTTCTTGTAGTAGTCTTTTCTTTACTGTACAGCAGACATGATAAACTCAGTTTTAATTAATTTTTATGTTTAAAAATCATTTGTTGATATATGTACTTCTGATGTAAATTAAGATTTTTATCTACAAATTTAAGTTTAAAGAACCTTACAGAAGAAACGGTAATTAAAACTCAAAACAACTGTTTGAAGAAAAGTAGTCTTTTTTTACTTCTTCAACATATTCACTTTATTGTAATTGGCATTTTTTGTTTTATTCACTAAATTATTGGCATAAATGAAAAAAAATTACATGAATCTGTATAATCAATGTCATTAAAATGGATTGAATGAAACATAATTCACTAGTATCTGTTATTCACACACATAATCAAACATAGTTTGTTTTTAATCCTTTTTATTATAAAGCTGTATTTCCTTTAGTAAAGGGAAATTCTCCATACTTGGATAAATAATTCAAACAGACAGACCTATCCAATAGCCTTTATCAGCTGCAATATTATTATAACCCGTCACTTCATTTCCTGAAGAACTTTACTGAACAATGGCAAAATATTTGCAACATCCCCAATACAACAGTTGAGATGGTCTACACTTCATTTTCTGAAAGAATTCTACAAACCAACTTTATACTGGCATTGAGTCTACAAGAGTAGCATAACTACTTTAAGAACCTGGATGAAATACAGTCAGTTGGATTCGACACCAATGGGTCTGGGTGATTCGGAACCTAGTGGCAATTACTTGATAGTGTTTCACTAGTGAGGTTCTCTGCACAAGAACGTCATTCAACTCCACAACATTTAAAGAGTTTTACTTTTTTAGTTGCACTATTCCAGCATAAATAACTAGCAGTAGTTTTGCTGCAGTGTGCAACATTCAATGCTAATGCATCTGTAGTCTTTATAATGGACAATCACTTCTCTCTATAAGAGTCCTTCACCAAGTTTATCTCCTTTGTAAAGTAAAGTAAATTTGTCTCGAAAGTCAGCTTTCTAGAATGTCACTCGCACTGGCTCAAACAGCTTTTTACGTCATGCTGGAACGAGAAGAAGAAAGTTTAAGAATGTGTCTAAATCTAAACATTCATAGTTAAGCAAACTGAGGGGAGAGGAAACAACAACAACAAACTCCAAAAGGATATAAATACCTTTGGAGTTGTCAACTTGTACGTTTTCACCCATATGTATCTCATGCCATTCTAATAGTTGAGAATTTTGTACAACAAATTCCTTAATATGGCCTTCTTCTCTTTATTAGTTGTGCATTTTGTATGATAAATTCTTTAATGTGTATTTCTTCCTTTTATGTTTTGACAAAACATGCAAACGTACTTTAATTTGCAGTTTGGCTTAATTACTTCTGAGAATAGGTGTTGGCATTTGCTTGTGTTACCTGTCAACTAAAGAGTCCCTCATTTCTGTGGTAATATTACTGGGCTGTGCATCTCCAATCTTGAACACACTCTCAATGACCGACAGTTCTGTTGCAGTGGTATCCAATCCACAAAAAGCTAGCCAATCGTTGGCCACTACGCCAGCAGCTATGACATCACTTCCTCTGTTTACTGTGCCTGCCTGAAGTGACAAACAAAATTCTACCATTACAGATTTGGGGAAAAAACATGTTAAGTATATGCAATTCTTTCAATATGAAGCAAAATGTCTCATTAAGCCTTGGCAAAATTCCTTAGTCACTGCCTGTTAAGAAATTATGTTAAAGACAGATTGGAGGAGACAAGACTGCAGGCACTTGGGTACCCATCAGATCATCTACAGCTGATAGAGGAGGAAGGGGAAAGGTTTGGAAATTTCTCCAGATTGAGACAATAGTCTATACCTACCACTAGAGGCACCTGCAACAGTGAAGACAGCTCATCTTGGTCTTCCACTGTGGTTTTGGGGTGAACCTAGAAATTATATATGTGAAAAGATTAGAGTTTTGCTTGAATTTCTTTATTTTCTCTTTCTTCATATTTTCAAAGATCTTACTAAACCTCCACAAAAACAAAAATGCATTACATACTGCACATTGTATATATATCCATTTTCAAACTTTCATCACCTAAATTGGCTACTATAAAAGGTTTTTATGATTTATCATCTCCCAAAACATTTAATAAAAATGAAGTTTTCATTTTTATTAAATGAAAACTTCATTTTTATTAAAAATGAAGTTTTCAGTTCTTCTTTATATCACCATAATAGTCTCATTCTTACTGGCACCTTAGAGATGACCAATTGTCAAACCACAGGAATAGCAGCAGTTTCATAATTTATTCATAGTTCACGAGGTTTTACTTTGTACTCTTTTTTTAAAATCTACCTGGATTGATGAAATTAATTTTTTTTCTCTTACTCACCAGCCCCCCTTGGTTAGTTATGGTGCAATAGCTGCCAACAAGTACATTGTCTGCCACTGTCTGACGGAATACTTCAACTTTAAGGACGTCTTCAAGAATCTGCTCTGTTTCCTGGAATAGTGAAGAGAAGATGTTCATTATAAACTTATTTAAATTAGTGATAAAGTGGAAAAATGTGTAGTATGCATGGAATATTCACTCTCCAAGAAAATATGAAAATACTTTCACTATATCTTATAAGGCTATGCTAACATATTTAACAGTGACTTATCCATTCAGTAATTTAGGCCACGAACTCAAATTACTACTGAAATTCCTACAGTGAACCTAGAATTTCACCCCCCTCCCCTATACTGTCTTAGCCTTTCTCTTTCTCTCTCTTTCTCAGAAACTCTCTCTCTCACACACACACACACGCACACACACACACGCACACAGGCTCTTTCTCTCTCTCTCTCTCTCTCTCTCACACACACACACACACACACACACACATACACTGTTATCTACCTTGTCTAGATCTGGGTGTACCAGAGCCACATAGTCATTACAAGCAATGACATTCCCCAGTGCTGACAGCCTCTCCTCCACACGTTGGATCTTCACAGAGTCTGGGAGAGCATTACGAATGTGCTGTAACTCCTGATCTGTTGTAGTATTGGGGACCAAGAGACCATGTCTGTTACCTGAAAAGAAAGAGAAGGAAACATATTATTTCCATATTATATACTCCAGTATGGACTGTGATGATTGAAAAAGACATATTCACTGAATTCACAAAGATGCAATGGCCATCACTATCCTACGGTTACATGTACATGTGCTTTCTTTTTATCATACACAACAAAACAGACTTTTTTAAGAGCTGCATTTTTAATTATTGTTCTAAAGATTCCACTACTGTAACAGTGACACAATCTTACCAACTGTCAAGCGGCCAATAATTCTACATCCTGCTATAGATGTGTGCACCACTGGAATTGTGTCAGACAGCTCACCCTCAAACACACTGAAAACAGACAATGAAAATAATAGAGATAACGTACTAGTACAAAAGTAGAGACAGCTGTCTCAGCGCGAGGCCTTACCATGCTCGATACTTAATTACCAGTGGGAAAGGAAAGATGGTGTGTGTGTGCGGAGAGAGAGAGAGAGAGAGAGAGAAGTTAAATTTCGCATAATCAAACCACCAAAATCAATCAGCAAACAAAGTCACAAGTACCTGTAAAAATTTTCAGCACCACCGATTGCTACCAAACAGTAGGCATTTGTAAGTTTTGAGAACACACCGATCTCGTTATTTCCTTCAAACTGCACGCGAACGGCCATCGGAATGTGATTCTTTTCCTCAGTTACCCTTTTATTATACTACTATCCGAAACCGATTGCCAACTTCCGCAGAAATTTCACTTTAAATCTGAAATGATGTACAATTTTCACACACGAGGATTGCATCCCAGAGTGCAATACTTGCTTGTGTAAAACGTCATTAGTTAAGCGGTGATGTCATCAGTTTTGGAGTATAGTAGAATGGAGACGAGACGCATGGTTTTAGGATTGTATAAGCAATTATTGCGTGAAAGTGCGAAATTCCCAGCTTACAATTACAGGTACAATTGTGACAGTGAATTAAACTTTTGTTCTTTGTATTTCTTGCTTTAAATCCCGTCGATAATTGGCCCGGTGTCGTTGTTCCATGACTTTTTCGATTGCAATGTGTGGGACAGGGTGGAGGGGAGGGGGGGGGGGCAGAGGTGCTTTTACCAGGCTTATAAGTAGAATTAAATGTAATGTTATTTTTTCCCTAATATGGTATGCTTTGGGGCTTATAGAAAGCCAAGTCTTAATGAACACTTCAGAAGGAAAAATCTTGAATATCAACATCGGGTACTTTTATGTAAGCCCTAGATAAGGTCTGAGTATTAGTAAGATCAAGCAGTTTTGTTTGATATTTAACATATGACTTTAGTCATATGCAGACACAAACAATTGCAGTATATCTTTAATAAGAAAAACTACTTTAATTCTAGGCTGTATGCACTGAGGAGGACCAAGGATGCATTCAAAGACAATAAAACGGAGACAAACCCAGAAAAAATACAGGAACTTATTGGGAAAGCTCAGAAAAATTTAGAAATAATTAAAAGACAGGTATATCAGTACAAGCCTGCGACCTGGTTCTCTAATGTCTATGGGTAGAACTTCACCTCATGGACATTGAGTAGAGCAAGGACATAAAGTGGATTCCACATAACCTGGACATTTTTGGACAAGGAAATTTGCTCAAGTCTGCAAAGATTTACCTTAGGCTGAGTTAATATTGATTTTGGGGGAAAATGCACTCCACAAGAGTTTTTCATAATAAACAATAATTACAGAGTTATGTGGAGTCCACTGTAGTAAGAACGATCTGTTGGTGGGGGGGGGGGGGGGGGCATTCATTTTGCAAAATAATAGGAGAAGCCTCTTTCCAGGGATCATACAATGCAGGGGTGGATTGAGGCCGTCTTCTGGGTCTTCCGGAAGATGGTCAGATTTTCAAGTTTACATTGATGGGTATCTAATTATTTCTGTCTGAAGATGGTCAAAAATGTAGGATGGATCAACAAACATAATTTGGAAGACTGTCAGAAAATATCTCTGGATCCACCCCTGTAATGAGGTACCTGATAAAGTCCATTCCATACCTCAACCATTTTATCAAAATGGACCACACTGAAGTTAAAATAATTGGATGGTGGGGGAAAGGGACTGGGTACCACAAGTACATCTGTAGTATTGATGAAATTAATTGAAAACGTTTCAATTATGTGGTATTTCTTTTTTTTTTTTGGAGAGAAAACTATGAACATCTAATTAGCATTATAACTTGCTTTAGAATAGAGGCCAAAGTGTGTGTTAGTGTGACCTAGATATAGGTGAGTGATCAGTTTAGATAATGAGGTTACGTATGTAAAATAGAGGTTACATAAAACTGCACTTAGAGTCCCAGCCTTGTCACATTCACTGTCACATCCTCTGTCACACCTGCTACAATCTGAAACAAGATACTGAAACATTCTATGTATGTAGAGTCATTTTGAGACTGAACTTGTTTTTCAATTGTATATACGGAACAAAAATTTCCACTTTCTAAATAGTTTTCATCTTTAACTTTTTCAAAGTATTGGAAGAATAGGAAAGAATAAGTATGAATATATAAACTTATCAAGGTTATCCAGGCAAATGTTGATGCAGTAATTTGAAAATTAAGGGGCCCAAAATTGTCAGCTGCTTAAGTTTGTGAAGTAAACATGACAATTAATCTAATGTTATGAATATTGGGTTAATTTAATGTATCTGAGACAGGAAATTAATGTTGTGCCATGTATCAGAGTGGCACCAACAGGAACACTGACTGAAATGTCAGACTGACTTCAGACCAAAAATGATGTTGTAATTTTTTTTTTTTTTTGCACCAGCTGTAATGTAAAACCAGATGCCATGTGAGATATTACAGACTGTGATATATATATATATATATATATATATATATATATATATATATATATATATATATATATATATATATATATATATATATATTCATTTCATAAATAAAAATTAGATTTGTAAAGTCAAGCCCCATATTCAAGTGTCAAATATGATTTTTTTTTTTTAACCTATTTGAATTTTTTTTTAATTACTAGTAATCCAATGCCATTTTTTTCTTTGAATACACATGTCGGAGATTAAATATGGCATCAGTTGTATTGCCAGTTCAGGTTATATCAGCAACACTGACAGTGCTGAGTGGCAGTGACAGTGCCAAATAAAGTGAGAGCAACACTGACATTTACAAGTAGAGTACATGGTAGTGACATTGACAGTGCTGGGTGGAATGACAACAACACTTACAGTGTCAAGTAGATTGACAGTGAAACTGACAAGGCTGAGTGGAGTGACAGTGACATAGTGCCTAGTAGAGTGACAGCAACACCGACAGTGCTAAGTAGAGTGACATCAACACTGACAATGGTAAGTAGAGTGAAGGTGACACAGATAGTGTCAAGTAGAGTGACACTGAAATTGCTGAGTAGAATGACAGCACACATACAATGCTGAGTAGAGTGACAATGACACTAACAGTTTCTAATGGAGTGGCAGAGACACTGTCAGCACCAAGTAGAGTGACATTGACACTGCCAGCGTTGAGTTAAGTGACAGACACCATCAGCATCAAGAGTGAGATTGAAAATGACAGTGCCAACTGGAGTGACAGTGACACCAACAGTGCCAAGTAGGATGACAGTGACACTGACAGTGTCTAATTGAGTGACAGTCACACGGACAGTGCCAAATATAGTGACAGTGAGACAAAGTTGAGTTTTGTTACAATAAATCTCTAATAAGCAACCTTGATCTCCATCTTTCCATACTCCTCTAACATAGATCCTGCACTATTATTAGTCCAACTGCCTAGGGTACCATTGAGAAATGTTAACAACCCTTCAAGAGTGAGTTGATGGGAGAGGCACTTTTTTATCCAGGCCCTGAATATCTCCATGATAGGTTTGTCTGTCTTGAACTATTTTCTAATCACAGTTTCAGAAACAGAAATTAGAACTAATTGGACATTACTCATACACAAGGCTTTTAGCTGTGCATCTTCAGAGAGATGAGGGTAGTTTTTTTTTCTAGAGTTTAATTTTTGTGGTAATTAGAGGCAAAACAATATTCGTGCTGATGAAAATTTCAATGAATTATTGAATATACATGTATATTTCTATGATAGGCATTACTGTTAAGGCATGTTGCCAACCAGACAGCGTTTATTTCAAGGCTAGGCTGAGATGAAAAATTGGTGTCAAGGTTTCAAGGCACTACTTTTAATAGACATCATGTGATAGTACATCATGATGCGGGTGATTTTTTCTGTATGCTTTATCTAATACTAGTATGATATGTTGAGCTCTGTACATGATGAAGGTCACAGTAACCTAAGACAGAGTAACCCACTGCGTCATTTGTCAGTTGAAGTAGCTGAATTAAACATGTTTATTGAATATATATCTGCTTTTAAGGCATCTGGTTCCACACCCTAATACCTATTGCCCAAGCTAAATTGTCATTTCTTCAGCTTAGTCTTTTAAAAATTTCATTACACTGTTAGGAAGTGAATTTTTGAAAACTTATTTTAGACAAAGTGTTCACTCTTTTCCATTAATTTAACTTGCAAAACTGAATTTATATACTTCCCAACAAGTGTTAAAGTGAGTTCCATTTGTGTTAGGACGAAAAAAAATTTTTAAGGTAAACAAAATATACTAGTAAGTAAATCTGGATTAATCTCAATGTTTTACTGATATAACCTTGACTTGTGTGCATTCAAAGACAAGCAAAGAACAGATATGAATTTATACTGTTTAGGAGGTGTACATGGTACACAAAAATGCTGAAAACGTAAGTTTACACTTGAATTTGACCTTGGCATCCTTCAACAAAAATAACCCCATTGTAACATCTTTCTCTGATTACCCAGGGTAGATATACTTTGTCACTGTTACATCACGTACACACTTAATTTTTATTAATTATCTAGGACTGTTATTGTACATGTACCAGGTAGCGTCTCATCCTTTCTCTGTCAGACCTTTTCGTTGGACAATCTGGCTCATGCACATGGTTCACCTCGCAATCATTTGTTTTTTATTGGCTTGTTTATTTTCCCTCCACATCTGTTATTGCATCACATTTACATACAGACTAGACTGAGGTTGCTGGCATAATCTTTGCACCCAGTCTGGAAACTTATAACCCCCTGTTCTTTCTCTCTCCATCTTTCTCTCGATGCCAAATTTAAATTGTGTTTTTCATCAGCACTAGGTCAACCTCTCGTAAGAAAACAAGTAAAGCAGAAGTTCACAAAGCAGTGCTGTGTGCTGAATTTGTTAGTCACTTTTAATACATTTAAGACTGAATGCACCATGGTTTTACTGAAAAGAGAGGCACTTTATCAACACTGAGCTTAGGTACATGTATACAGTTGCTTACTTGTACTTTCTCCATGTTTGATCCAAAATTACAAAATATTAAGAAGGGGTGGCAGGATTACATATTCCACCCCCTCTCCCACTCACACACACATGCCCACTCACACACACACACACACACCACTCTCTCTCTCACACACACACACACACACACACACACACCACTCTCTCTCTCACACACACACACACACACACACACACACACACACACACACACACGTGCATTAGCGCATTCTTCCCTCCTCCTGCAACCCCCTCTCTCCGCCCTGAGTATATAACATATGATTGAAGTACATGATGACATGTTTCATGAGGCCTTAGCTCCCCTCCACCACCACTTTTTTTTTTTTTTTTTGGGGGGGGGGGGGGGGGGGCAAAATCAACAAGTTCATTTTTTGCAAAAGAATACTTAGACATACAGGTACTTTCAGAACCACCTCTACCTTGGTTTGAGTTCTTTGGTTCTGCACTTTAAAAGTGCACCAATACATTTAAAATTAAGAGAAGAATGTGTAAATGCTAAGAGTACACATTAGTGGTTGATTTGCCAAAAGTTCTACTTATAGGAAGGGTAACTTGTACTTTTAATAGCTAGTTTCATATCACACTTAGGGACCGTTCACATGCAAAAAATATTTTCTAAAAATGTATTTTCTATTCGCGGTATCTTGTGATCACGGTCTATGCCCTGAATACCCCGCGGCGTAATTACTGGCAGCGCGAGCCAGTTACTTCCAAAGCTGTAATTAATTCTCGGCTGCGCTCGGAGTGATCACAAGATACCGCGAATAGAAAATAGATTTTTAGAAAATAGATTTTTCATGTGAACGGAGTCTTAGCTTTGAACTGATTCAACCACGAGGAATCTAAAACATGATATCTAAAACTTGATATAAATATATATATATATATATATATATATATATATATGCATGCTAGGTACTATTAATTTCTTGATACTGGTACCCACCAACCTGTTTGGTAGGTCCTAGCTTAATACAATTATTTTAAACTTCATCATAATATTTGTATCGTTTCAGGTTACCATTGAAAGACTGTACACAGATACGAAACTTGTGATAGAAAAGCCGAAACCTTCCAGTCATGGTTCTCAGAGCTGACAGTGCCATCTAGTGGTGACCTTTGACATGTACTTGTGGCCAGTATGATTGTACAGCAGAGCAGCGACGGCAACAGTTGGGGGGGGGATGACATCTTCCAGAATGTGACTGAAATACTCCCAAAAACTGATAAGAAATCTTTGAAAATAATTTATCAGACAGAGGAGTCTGTACAAACTCTACAGGAAGGTGTATAAATATCTCGCAGCTATTTAATGGTCTCAGTGCTTTTGAGACCTTGTAAAAAATAGTTCTTTTAGTAAAGACACTTTTTCTGGGAAATTCTCCTAACAGGGGATGACCTGATGACCTTGCTAATAGCACAATGAAATGTTTGAAGGTGAAAACTGTGAAGTTGTTTACAGGGCATTTGTGATTACACCTTGCAAATATATCACACAAGTAACAAAACATTGAACTTATGTTTGTTGATGTTTTTTATTTGCATTTTCTTGTAGGATCTTCCTTTGCACGACGATCAAATAGTTGTGTATAATAAATAGCAATTGAATTTGATTTGGTGAAGGTTTTGTATGTTTTGTGTTGTTTTGTTTTATTATTATTATTATTATTAATTTCATTATTATATTTTATGATACTAATTTTATTGCTGATACTGTATCTGCGACCCATCAAACCTTAGTGAAAAAAAGAAATAAATTTTATGCATGTTCAGACGTAAAAGTTACTCCTGAGCCAAACTGAAACTAGAAATGTATTTGAAATAATCTTTAAAAAAATACTGTTGTCCCAAAGGAGTAGCACAAGTTCACATCCTTGCAAACTAATCGTTTAAATTTTAATGATAACTTGTAGAGCTGCAACCATTTTACATAATTAAATCAACATTAATTGTTCCAATCTTAAAACTACAGATGTGTCACAAATATTTGACACAGTTCTTTATTCATAACGTAAAGTGTCACGACATCGGGTGTACTTCCCCCATCATGACGTCAAAAAATGGACGGCAATAGAAGCCTGACGTCAACAACGTGACGTTGTAAGTAGTGTGACGTCATAGAGACGGCGTGTAGTCATCAGGACCAATCCCGGCCGTGAACTTCGCCACATGTGGTTCTCCATTCCTTCAGTTGCGGTTGGAAATTCACGATGTTGAAATGTCCTCTCCCGGATTCCTGACCGTGATTAAATTTACAGTAAAAACCGACCACTCGTTACTAGCGTATAAAACTAGCTGTGGGCATTTTTTCTTAGTTAATTTTATGCTAATTTTCCTTCAGTTGCATATTTTTGTTTTATTTTGATAACCATATCCTTTTTTCCAAGTGTATATGTGCTTTATAAAAGAAAAGAAAACTTTCAGATCTCCGAATTACGTGCATAACACAGACGTGCAACCAGTTTGTTGGGGTTATATGCTAGAATTAAAGTTGGGGGAAAAAACTTGCCAATGAAGAACCTACCCCTGAATACGCCATGAATGCCATCCACTGATGTCTAGCCGACGCAATGTCGCACCTCTGATAAAACTTTGAATAATTGTTTGAGAGGTAGGAAAATATGAGAGCGTTACTTGAATTCGGTCCGAAGACGCGTTTTTTGAATTAGAGAAATCACCACGGGAGAACTGAATAAGGTAAATTTATGACATTCAATAAAAAAACAGGAAAATGTACCTACAGTGCTTTTTTGTTCAAAGATAGTTTCATAGGCAGCAAAATGAAGCGTATATGATCTTCTGTACCTTTATTAAGAATTATATATAATGAAAGCCTTAAGTTTCATCTGCAGCTTAGCCGTATGCTATGTAGCTTAGATGGCAAATGCTTGATAAAAATTACTTCAGAAAATAAACATCAACTACTAAGATGATGCCAGGCACGTATACGGTCTAACTGATGAAAAAATAAGTTATTGCGACTCTATCTTATTATCCTTAACCCAGAGAGAAGGTCATGGTCGTGCACGTACATGTACAGAGATGAAAATAAACTTCAAAACCTGCTCAGAACGATGGTAGCAGAGAGCCATGACGCTGCAAAATTGTATATTTCCAATTGATATTTTTTAGCCGCTGAGTCAATAGTAGGCCTACTATGTACGCAAACTACAAGTAGGCTTATAAGATATAACAAACCACTTCGCCAATCACTTCAGTGCATCCAAGAAAGCGCCCGCACGCACGCAGCCATCACCTCACCGACATACAGATGGAAAAATTAGCACGTGCTCTATAGTAATGCAGACAAATTATGCTGTTTTCAGCGCTTGTGTTCTTTTTCCCCTGTAACACTCACATCAGGCCATCTCATGCTCTCATCCCCCATACCAGGCTATATATTTGCAGGCAGACAGATGAACTACATGAACTCTTGATGTATAGGCTCCCTATGTTTTCTTTTCGTAGCATTAAAGTACGGTATTTGTGTGTGTGTGCGTCGGTGTGTTTGTGCGTATGTGTGCATGCGTGTGTTTGTGTGTGTGCGCGCGTGCGTGTGTGTTTCTCTGTGTGTGTGTTTGTGGCTCAGCTTGATTTCAACTCTCTACCAGAGATCTTTTCTATGTGTACAATTTGGTCACAGCTAGAGAGGGGCCCCGTTACACAGAAGGTGCTGGATTTCCTGGAAATGCAAGTTGTGCGCGTGTTTTAGACGTTGGCTCGCACCGGTCTTACTCATTCCTTGGTCAAGTCTGCCTCTCTGGTGTTGACCTTGTTGACCTTTGATCAATTAAGGTGAGGGAAAGTGATTAATGTAATAAAAATGGATTTATTTCCTAGTAACGCCCCAACAGGCCAATAAAATTATGCTAAAATGCTCCATTATTCAACACTGGTATTTTGTAAAACGAGAAAACAGCCCATTGTGGTTAAATCCAGTGCTGAATACCAGGAAATAGACACATGTAAATGAGAGGTTCACATCTTGATTAGCAGATATTAAATGGATTTGTTTGCGCAAGGTCAAGCAAGGCTAATAGTTGCAAAGTCCAAGAGGTGCCATCTGCTCCTTCATCAGCTTCATGTAAATTGATTGAATAATTATAAAGGCTGGATGATTGCATCATAAAAAAAATATTGGAACTCTACCCGATGGATCTGATTGATCCCAACATCGGGCCATTTTTTGCAGGGTAACACATTTTTTTCTTTCTTTTATAGCCCCCCCCCCCTTCCCCCCCCCCCCCCCATTATTCTATTTTGTTAACCTAATTTCTTTTGTCAAAACTGTGGCTAGTGTCGCTGAAAGCGAATAAAAGAATCTTACAGCATATTTCGGAGTGTTGAGAAGTTTTATCCCAAAGTAGAATGGTTGAATATTTCAAAGAATAAAAATGGAAATTTAATTAACTTCAGAGCTAATTTACTTTATATAAGGGGTCCAAGAATGTATCATATACAATCAAAGAAACAATCACAACGTTGGGAATCACTTTTCCTGCTCTTGATGATATAATTCGGATAATTTCAAAAAAGATCAAACAGTAACTATGAATATAATTCACGGGCGCACCTCGGCAATCCACAAATTCTGCGGATAACTTGAACATACCCTGTGACCTCAACGCCTACGTCATAGATGAGATGTATTTATAGAAAGGTCATTAAATAGGTCAGACTCAAGAGTCAAGGGGAGGAGCTTCCGATGTCCTTATTGGCGGACACATCAAGGTCATGGGAACGTCACAGAATATACGGCGTCGTGATTGTCGTTGCTTGGTAATACTGCTATAACGTTTGCTATACTGCAGTTATCGTTCAACTGATAGCAAGCATATCGAAGAAATTTGATCTATTTAAGAAGAAATTTATGCACTGGAGAGCTCATCTTGACAACCTTCATGTAGCCACCTAGGGGGCTACGTGCAACTGCTTGCGTCACTATTTGTTAGTAAACAGCCGGCTTCTCAATGGATCTGGAATCTACTGGATTGCAGACTGACAGCTATTATATTGAGTACAGTGCATACCGAGATTGTGCAAGTGAAAACATGTTGATTGCGTAGTTTTCTTTGCATGATGAGGTCAGCATATTATTCATAGAAACGTTGTGCTACTATAAGGAGGCATTGCAATTTGCAGTCAGGTCTTGTTACCACATAAGTGCTTCACCTTGAATGACTTCCCGGGGTTTAGGATCCGCAGCAAACTGCTATGGCGGAAGATTGCAAGCCTGAAGTGGAAAATAATCAGAACGCTGTTAGTAGGATTACTACAAGACTTCTGGCCAGTTTTTCGGGTACGTCTTCTTCAGACTCACCATTAAACTCTACTAAGCCCTTAAAACCAGGTGTTAACTGCTGGCATTGTTTTTTAAAGACGGGCAGAGATTCGGAAACCGCCAGCGAAGGTGACTTTGATACAAGCGCTGATGACCTTGGCGTGGTGATCACCGAAAAAGACGGTCTTGTAAGTACTATTTTGCTTGATGAAACCTCAAAAATTGTCGACCAAAATCAGGCGGGTTCGGAAAATCATCGCAGTGATATGATAGACGGTATTTCAGCCGCGGAAGAAAGTTTAAAGAGTGCACATCTTGCTGTTGAGGGCGAACGGCGCATTATCAGGGAAGTTAACACAGAAAACCCCAGTCTGCCAACTAATCAAGAGAGCACGAGTATAGTAACTTCAGGAATGGCGAACCTGAACGAAATGGCAAGATTCACGGCCACCGAGCAGCAAGAGCACGAGCCAGGTACGAATCTGCTACCTGACATTTTTCAATCAGCTGATCATGTACGACCTCTGCCTCTACCCGACGTCACACCGGATTCTTATTGCGGTTTTGAAGGTGATCCAGGCCGCCCAGTAAACTACCACCACCGCCATTACAATGGGGAGATGAATAGCACGGACCAGGTTGTAGACAACGGTTCTGGGAGCTACCGAGACGAGGAAGGGGTAGACACGGTCGTTTTGAGTGTAGAAGAAAAGGCTGATGCACCGGACCTGAATGGCAGCGAGAGGTTGAGCGTGGATACGCGATCGCAGAGCGAAAGCGAGGTGTTTTCTGAAATGAGCACGGGTACTACTGACACCGACGGCTACAGCACTACAAACGAAAGCGATCTAGATTTAGAAAGGCTGGAGTTCGGGGAGACGAACCTGAACGTAGATATACCGGAACAGTACAAGGAGTACCAGGGTTACGCAGACTGGAATAAATTCTTCCAAAGCATACAGCAGAGGAGAGAAACTGACGAACGGGAAACCACACCGGTCGGCGACGATAACAGCGATGATGACATCGACGCTGGCGTTTCTAAATGTTCTTTATGCCACCGCAACGTCTCTGAAACTCCAATGTCCAGCAGTGAGCCGGGGTCCGAGCTGAGCAGTCCGGAGATCGAACTGACCGACGGGCAGTTCAGCCCTCTCCGTGTGCTACCGGGCGAAGATAAACTCGTATGTAATGGTTGCTCTGATAATATAAGTACAAACAGTAAGAAACCAAAGTCAGATTTAGATAATTTGTGTGATTTTTGTTTTAAAGATGATGCCTGCGACACGACCTCTTGTGATACGACCCCTACGTCTTCTGACTTGGAACAGCTTGTTAGCAACACAGATGACGCCCAGACAGAAAACATGAAAGACCATAAGGCGGACGTCGTTGATAGCACTAATGGCGACCGTGAAGGTGAAAGCGAAGGAGATGCCATCCCTTTCCATGGCGGTTTAGTGAAAGTGGACGAACTTGCTGGAAGTCACGGGCAGAGCCACGGACGCCCGAAACCCCCGTTACTTGACATTCAGGCTCCTAGCTTAGATTTAGGTGACACAGAGACAAAGACCGATGATCACAAGGATGACGAAAAGGATGACCAAGAAAAACCTGATTCTCCGTTGGATCCAGCTCCATTTGTGCCAAAGCTTCAAATTCCTGACAATAGTCCTTTGTTCGAGGACCGAGAATTTAATTTTGTCAAAGCCGATTTTCGACGGTCAGTGTCACTGAAGACGAATAAGACGCCACCTGGGACGCCTCACAGGAAAAAGGAGGTCCGATTTGCTGACGCCCTCGGGTTAGATCTAGAATCGGTGCGTCACATTTTCAATATAGAACAACCCCCTATGATCCCTAGCTCTGCCATCAAAGGCCTGTCGAACACCTCTCCGGTCAACGACCCTCAGTTTAGAGTGTCACAGGGCAGTCGGCATATGTCCGAGTGTTTCCGACAGCCGGGCTGCGAACCCGACTTTTACCGACGCGTCAACGATAAGAAGGTTTGTCTGGAGAATACCATGGTAACCGACATGACCATCACTGGGACAATTCGGGTGGCGAATATTGCATATCACAAGAAAGTGTTTATACATTATTCAACGGACAATTGGGCGACTACGCAAGATATCCCGGCGAGTTACGTCGCTAACTCTTGCGACGGGCCGACGGATCGCTTTGCATTTACTATCTCTCTCCCGCCGGATTTCACGGTGGGGAGCCGGCTGAAGTTTGCCGTGTGCTACAACGCCGGGAGTCAGGTGTTCTGGGACAATAATAACGGAGAAGATTACATGTTTGAATGTTACTTTCGAGCACTGCCCGCGTCAGAATCAGACAAACAGTGGCTGCATTTTCTTTGAGATTTTTTAGACAGAACTGGCACTGCGACGTTCACCGCGGTACGTTAACATAATTATACGTGTGACATTAATCAAGAGAATTAGAGATATATACTTTTGTTTACGGAAAGGCTATGTTAATTTATTTAAAAAAAGAAAAAAATACGGTTCAGCAAGCTTACATTATTACTAAATAGATATGGTGCAATGTTGTACTATGTAAATAAGACAAATTTCAGTACACTAATTGTTATAAGATTTTTATTTTTATGATTTTCGAGATTTGATCTCCATTGGATCGGTAGATGTAAGCGCCATGTTGGCACCAGGTATATGTGCGTATTATACTAGAATGAACATACTTTTCCTATTATTTAATGTCAGAACCGACTTGTTTATTAGGTGCTTTTAGAGCTGATTTTCTTTTCATGTTGTAAAATAAAGATATGAATTCTGTTGATGTAAACTTGATTATAAACCGTCCAGAATATATAGTGCATTGCCTTCACTGCCCTCTAAGCCAGAAACACCGGTATTTTAATGATTACTGTAAGAAGCCCATTGGAGGCAAGATAACTATTAGGTAGTGTGAATGTTTGTTATCCTCCTTTATATCTCCTATATCCTTAACCTCTGACAGCGCCTGGAGTGAAGTAAAACTAGATTCACGTGCCAGTGAATTACTTAGCTATATATTGAATCATCGGTTAATATAGAAAAGGAAGGCAGATAAGCACTGCAAGAGCTATATACATATTGCCCGCATGTTGATTAAAAATTTCTGGACTATATGAATATCGGTTGTGATGGATATATAAAGATCTAATTAACTAGCCATATGTGTACATGCAGTTATATATATATACTTTATGTAAGATGAAATATATTTCACGACTGACTTTAGACGTTGACCTTGTGAGCAGCAAAATCACCATCTTTGTATTTTTTACCTGGCTCGGCGCATAGTTGCCGAGCTACGTGTTGCGTATATAATTCTACAGGTAGATTTAAGCTGCTCTCGACCTCAGCACGCTCTGTGTGGATGAGCACATGATGGATTATATTCACCTTAGACGGCGGTGTTGGTTACAGGATCGGCTGCCAGAAGGGGTCGACCCTGACACCGGACTGTGCAGTGAAAATGTAAAGCAGAAATTCTAAATGCCGTCTATAAATTTCATAGCAATGCATTTTTATATATAAAGACAACGTGCACTACGATCCACTGTTTCCTATATAATCAAAAAATAGATGTCTCTCTCTTAGTTCCACCCCCACCCACCCACCCACCCCTATATATTGTGAACTTCATGTTAGAAAACTTAATCTTAATTTTCTTGTGTCCTGAACATTGCGTGACTCAGGAGAAGACATTGAGAGACGAGATTATAAACGTTATAAACAACACAGTTGTTTTTTGGTTGTTATTGTGTATTTTAATGTTATACGAGAGAGATTTTAATGTTGCTAACTAATGCCAGTTGACAATTTTTTCTCTTTTTTTTTTTGAACGTCTATACAAATGATACACACTTATCTTCATATTCACGAAATGCTGTAAATTTGCTTCTTTCTGGACTTATCCAGAGATAAATAGGCCCACTATATAGTTGACTGTATTACTGCAAATTTGATTTAGTCTGATGTGAAATCGATTCAGTTTCTCCATTACTGAGTAAATGTGTGATAAGTCAAAGGAATGAAATTTGCAAAATTTATGATAATGTGTACGCCTGTTTATATTCTCGATTAGTTCTATCGTATTCTAGACACTGTGTCGTTAAATATAGCTGAGGTTGCTCAAGAAAATTGTATACAGGATTGAGAGACTTTCTTAATATTATGTCCTATGGCCTGGTCATACTCACAGCACCAGGCAGCGTGACTGGCAAGGGTTTCTGATGTGTTATAACTTGTTACGTTAGCTGTGATATTATTTTTAGGTGCACCACTATTTCATCAATGAATGACCGTGTTCATTTGTACGACAGATGTAGATAAGTTCATTATATCGTTTGTTACGGTCACTAAATATTATAAAGAGCAAATGTAATATACGACTCGTTTTATTGGTTTATTTATTTTCTTCCCAGACTACCTCATTAAAAGGGATACAACTAAGGGGAAAAGATAGGACATTACGTAAAGTCCGACCTTTTAACGGGTATGCGGGCAACTGGGAAGGTGTTGGGGGAGGCCGTGATACAGTACCCACGTGTACAGACACAGATGTTTCATACAGAGAGCGCTTTTTTGTCCAGACAGAGCCGAAATAAGCACCAGTTCCTTTACACCTGGCAAATGAATGTTTTATTACACCTGTGCGAGCCTAGGAAGCACAAAAGTACAGCCGGAAAGCAACGGCATGCGCCAGGCCGCCAGCTTTCCCATTAGGATTTGTTTAGAGTTGGTTTAGTGATCGTCATGTTGGTATTAATCCTGTATTGCAGTATTGGCGTGTCCAGCATTGATCCGTGGCTCTTGTTCACTACACGAAAAGATCAATTTTGGTATTTTCTACAGAAATTATAAAAATATGCGCCCACAGGATCAATAGAAAGCCAATCTGTTTTTTGACATTATGAGAAAAAAAGAAGGTTGAATAAATATTACCTTTTAACCTATATAGACCCTACCCCTCTGATAAGACAAGGCTGTGAGGTTTATGTATCCCCCCTGAGGTACAAGGGATCTCCCAAACACAGTAAATGTATGTCTTGGCATTTGTTTATGTACTTTATTCAGTTCTGACTATTTATCTATTATAATTAAATTATAAACAAAAAATGTTTTGTGTATGAGGTGTCTTTGATATCAGAAATTCATCTTAAGATCAATGTTCAATAATATAAGGACATGAACTACTATTGTTAAAAGGTCTATCAGTACAAGATAGCCCAGTTTGCTAAGATAGGCCTAATATTTGTATTGTGTATACAATCTTAAAACTACGACTAGATGTAATAACTTGTGATATATTTTGTCCCGCGAAACAATTAATAACATTTGAAATGGCAGCACGGGAAGCACGTAGTGTGTTGGGTTCTCATTTACTTGGACATTTTTACGATTAAAAAGAGGTCAATTTTGAAAGAGATTAATAGTTTCCACGTCCTCAGATATATGCTATCATGATACGTGATGACAGTAATTATACTACATGTACACCCTGGCAGTCAGAGAATCGAGTAAGACCTATCTGTCTACAGCCAATGCCAACGACAGAATGGGTGTGTTGTAGGCGAGAATTAAGCGAGTCCCACGGCCCGAGGGCTCTTTTAAGCCATGTTCACATCTGGTATTGGTTCACCCTTCTTTGTCAACCCCGTCTCCTTGGACTGTTTTGTTTGGATGAGCTCTCTTTTGTCAGGGGGTATTTTTCAATTGTTTTTTTTTTTTAAGTTAAGTGCTTGCCTTACCCACTGGGCCATGGTGTGTGTCTGTGTGTGTGTGCGTGTGTGCCTCTGCGTGTGTGTGTGTGTGTGTGCGTGTGTGTGTATGTGTCATTGTGTGTCTGCCCTGCGTGTGTGTGTGTGTGTGTGTGTATGTATGTGTCACTGTGTGTCTGCCTGCGTGTGTGTGTGTGTGTGTGTGTGTGTGTGTGTGTGTATGTATGTGTCACTGTGTGTCTGCCTGCGTGTGTGTGTGTGTGTGTGTGTGTGTGTGTGTGTGTGTGTGAGAAAGAGGGTGCGGTCTGTGATAAGTTGAGCCTATTAATACGGCCCTCAGAAAAAAGGGTTGCCAAGAAAGGACGACATATAGGCCTATTTGCTCTTGTGATAACTCCGTGGGCTCAAAATGAAGCCCAGGTGACTTATTGTTCAGAATCACGTTGTGGTGATAATGATAAGCTGACTCCGTGCATCCCGGCTCGTCTTGCGGGTGCATGGTCTGTTTACCTCAGTGGTAACGCACAGCTATTCAGACCCCACGGGAACTTTCTTTATCAATGACTTCCTGGGTGTCATTAATGTATTATCATGTTGACAGCGATGATCGCTTCTATTTCCTAATGTTCACTCGCTTTTATTTCCCTCCTTTTTTTCTTAGTTGGTATAAGGCTTAGTAGATAGATTAATGATGGGTTTAATGAATCCGAAGAGAGTCGCTGCCATCCGCTTCTGTGAGCAGAATAATGGTTTAAATGCAGTATGGTTCAAGGAGTGCGTCAGGAGACAGCACCTGGCGGGGAGTTAATCGATGTCATCCTTACAGAAGGTCTAGTTGTCACTCGTGTTCGGATCCAAGAGAACAACCGTCACATAAACAGGCCATTGTGCATTTGGGCTTTGTTTCGTCACAACGATGCAACTGAAAAAACATCGTGAATGAAAACCACTGAGGGTTGGGGGGAGGGGCGGTTTTTTGGCCCAATGACTTATTGGGGTGACGCAACTGAACAGCCACTAAAAAACATAATACGAAGTGCTTCTGTTTTCTGTTCGGGAGTTTTTTCTGTCCGTCTGTATTTGAAGAAATGATTTTGCTTTTTTAGAGTCCTTTTTATCTTTTTTTCTTGGTGTGTTTATTCAGCATCCCCGTCAGTTTAATTGTTGTAAGTTTCCATCAAAACGTGAAAGCCGTTTTGTGCTAGCCTTAATGCCAGACAACCTTTTAATCTATAATTTTTTGTCCTGAAAATGGAAGTCGTATTTTTGATCAAAAGATAGCCTGGTCCCCGAATAGAGAAAAAAACGTGTTTTGACTAGTGACACTGGGCCGTTTGTTCAAAACTAGACTCTGGAATAATTTATATTTTTTCGGGTTACGTGTCCTCCGCATGGGAACCTGTGCAAGTGTTTTTTACCTTCTGCAATACATTTGCACGATGGAAAGAAAATGTAAATACGAACTAAATTTGTGAACAAAGGCGCGGCAAAGTTGTTCAATTAAAAGAGCTGTCATTAGTCTGAGTATTCTATGGAAACTGCTGTCTCCTATGCATATGCATCTTTTGTATTATATCCCTCTTATTAAAATATGTTACAACATTGACGGAATCATTTAATTTGGTCTTATTGTTTTTATCATTTAACCTTGAACAAACTATAATATCTCATCAATCTTTCTGGTTTTAATTTTTTTCCGCTGTCAGTGAAGAAGAGTCACAGTAGGTAAATAAGGAAGGCCTAGCGTGTCTGAAACGACTAAAATTACTTCGTTTATGTAAAAAAAAAAAAATTAATGTCTCTTACGTGTTCGCAGTTTAATCTTTCTCTACTTTGATCCTGAAAATAGCAAGAAAAATTAACGAGATAGGTACTCAGTAGTGATCATGATTTATACCCAGTATGTTTACTATGAAGTTGAAGGTGAATGGGACGGGTACCATTAGTGGGCTCTAGGTTTTAATCTTAAGTTAATGTGCTCCCCCTAGATGTTCAAAGTTGAAAACTGAGGTAATTGTTTGTTCCTTCAACCTGTAGCTGTGATTTATTTTGGATGTCGGAGTCAAGCAGCATGAAGTGTTCCGAAATCTTACATGTACACGCACACACTGTCTCCCATCTTTCTCTCTTCTTCTCTTCCCTCTCCCCCCTCCTAGTCTCTCTCTCTCTCTCTCTCTCTCTCCTTCCATAGTAATGAAGGTAAATTGCGGACAAAACGTACGACACATGTCCTATCACCGTTTCACGTTGAATGTCGCCATTGCATCCAGTTAGCTGTCTGTTTTGACAAGTAGTTTTCACCCGAGATGGCCGAACACAATTTCCACGCAGCTTAATAACCGCGGTCTACGATATGACTTGGAAACGTATTAACAACCCTTGGTAACCGGAGCAAAATGCCAGACGATTATTACCCATAGGGTACGTCTCAAAATGCCCAGGTAATTTTTCACCTTAGGTCTACGTGCTGTGACGCAGGTAACCTTTGGTGATATGGGTTGACCATTTGACGTGGGAAATATTTAGGTTTTGTCCGACCGCCTGAAAATATTACAAATAAAAGTGATAGACTAAATAAACGAGCACTAGGGAGTATTTCTTAAGTCGTAAAACTAGGTAGGGCCTTATTTATACGATGATGCAATGTTCACGACTGAAGTGTTCTGATAAATGCAGAGATAAATCGAATTTGATGACTAGGATGTCACAGTCGAAGAACAAATATATTGAAATACTATAAAGATCGTTCCTGACTGGTTTTTAACATATAATGTTAAGGGGATTACGGACGCCATGTATATTGCCAATTAACTGACAAGACATATAATACAGCCTTTTTAAGCAACAAAGTGGTTTTTAATTTTTATATGAAAGTAATCATGTGTGTTTAAAAATAGCAATCTCTAAAACAGCCTGCATGTCAGAAACCCTACCCAAAACTATTTCCATTGAAATGGAAATCATTTGTTCTTAAAATACTTCGCTGTTGAATAGATAAGTGGATTTCCTTACTTAGATATCTCTCTGGAGGAATAAGGATATAAAACTGGGGTTGGGGGAAGGGGGCAATTTTTCTTTTCTTTTCTAATATGTGCACCTACAGAGAACCCTGTGACTATACGGCACAGTTTGGAAAACTGCGGTACCGAGGACCAGACACAGTCTGCAGTGGGGCTTTATGATGTGTCTTTTCTCACATTTTTTATTACAAACATAGAGAATTGAATCCGCCCTTTACAAAGTGTATATGTTGGAGAGGGGTGGGTGGGGGGCTGGATCGATGCCCATGAATCCACTTGTGTCTTTTGTGCAGATTGCTTGTATTCCGTTAATGCATTCCGTTAATACAACATATTGGGTTATAACGTTAGGAACACTATATAACGCCCTTATAACCGTGGTGGGAGTCAAGACACAATGAACTGAAAAAATTATATCAGTTTTTCGACCACGAATGGTATCATCATAAAAATACTGGGAAGCTGGTAAGATTTACTGCTCGTAAATATTAGAACATGTGGGAATGGGTCTGTAGGTACTTACTGGTATGAGAAATGAGGAGAATTTTTATTCCATTTCAGTTAGAATAAGGAGAGGGCAACCCTCAGTGCCAAGGCTGGCTTAATATAGAACCTTTATGTGCAACACAACATGAAAAATGGGTGCGC